CCTGCCTTTATTGACTAAAAGATCAAACAAACAAATAATAAACTCCCTAAACTCAACAACCAGCTTCACCTCTCTCGCTATTAAGGGTATTAAGTTAAAACCAAATTTTCTAATCCTCTGAACCTGTTCAGGGGCTGTAGGTGTGCAGCCACCACACTGCAGCTCCTCTCTGGGAAGATGACAGACCCATATTTGCTTTTCCAATTCCAGCTAAATGTACAAAGAAATGGAAAGATACTGAACCAGAATGCAGCTGAAAAGGCAACAAAACCAACACCAGGCAAAGGTTTCCTTTGTGCCTCTGTAAACATTGCTTTTAATCTCATATGGTACAAATGATTCAAGCTCCACACAAATGAGTCAATGATAAAATTACCACATGATTTTTTTTTCCCTGTCAAAATACGCTTTCTTCCCAGCTACAAAGGCAAAAAGCAGAAATATTACATAAAAAATAGTAACCACTGTATGAAACACAGAGTAGAGGGAAAGGCTTTAAAATCACTGATGTGCTGCTGGAATGGAGACATATTTTTTTGCATTTGTCAATTTTTTTCAGAGCTGCGTGCAATTTTGTCTGTTTTACAAAAAAGAGCTGCCCTCTTTTTTAACTGAACTTTTAAAACTTTTCTTGCTAAAGTGCCTAAATAGAGTAATTCCATTCAAATATTACCTTATATTTATATAGGGGCTATCCAAATATTGGCTCATTAAGTTTTCCTTCTGTTGTTTTGGGGAACAAAACCTTGACTTTCCTGAAAACACTGACTGTGAGTTCCCTCAGCTGCATAAATCAATACTAACACAACCAAAACAAGTTTGATGGGGAAATCGGTTTGTTGGACTTGACCATCACTTTGCAATACAGAAGGTCAGGCCTGCATTGGGTGAGTCAATGGTAACTTAGCCAAGCTTGAGAAAATGACCCAGCACTATAGAAAACACTGTGTAGTAAACCAAGAAATGGCAGCCTAACCTAAAAAAGAAAAAGGAAAAAAAATTAGCATTTTTAGCAGCAGACCATAAATTCATAAAATATAAATAGTTATAAAATGTGTGGGTATGAGAAGGTGCAGTTTCATTGGTGCAAGGCTGCAGTCACACTAAATGTGACCTGTGCATGTGTGGCTTTACCTCTCTCCTCTGCCAAGGAACTGCTCTTCAGCTGAGAGCTTCCAGCTGTAAAAACTTCTTTTTTGACAATGTGGACATGTGATGTGGATATTCACATGACTCTCTTGCAGCCTGTTCCCAACCCTTACTTTAAAACATGGAAATTTGGATCCATTTTCAACCAGTCCAGAGCTTATGAAGAATAAACTTCCCTTTTAAAAACACTACTGTAACTTTTACCTATGCAGATTGCCAGGCTGAATTTTAAATGCAATCACTTGGCTTCCAGTGCACTCTAAAAATCAGGAGTCCCAGTCAGCAGGAATCAGTACTCTGCACCCAGGACCTGCTATTTCCATCATTTGAAGCCTCTGTGCTGCAATTATGTGAATTGTCCACTTTTTCCCCCCAGCCTCCTCCATGAAATGCATATGTAATGTAAACCCCATTTATCACACTGGAAATTGCTATTGCATTTAATCTTCCCAAAGAGACCAAAATCAAATTATGATGTGTAACGAATGATAACCTGTCAAATTCAAGGGAAAACTCCCAGCTCATCCCTCCTGAAACAGAACAGGTCAAAGGGGTCTAGTGTAGAAGACATGGGTAGGAAGACATGATGTGAGAATACCAAATGAGAAGATGAAAGCTCTCTAAATCTTTGCAGATTGAATGAAATCTAATTACGTGCTGTATTGATTGTTGTGTATTACTGGAAAGAGACAGTGAAAAGGGAAAAAGGCAATTAGACTGAAATTGTAGTCTGACCTTCAATTGCTTTTGGCATGAAAGGTTATGCTCTACTTGGGGCATCAAAAATTCTTTATCCTCTATGGTGAATCATTAGCAACAGACTTAGATGCAAAACTGATTAAGGGAAAAAAATTCAGTCAATTCAATAATTTTTTAATTTTTCCCCTTTACCAAAAAAGTAAAGGCAAAGGAAGAAAATATGAAGGTGTTATCATTATGACATTTAATGAATTGCTACCAAGTCTAAGTGGTATGAGTTCTGTGCTGAATGACAAAAAAATATATCCATCAATAGCAATATAGCAAAAATAATAAAAAAAGAACATATATAGATTGCTCAACTAGGTCTATAATAACTCTGTTTTTCAAAATAAACATTGTACCCAAGGTCAAACATCAGGAGGTAATACAAAGTCTCACCAAGAAAATTCCACTGACACGTTTCATTGCTTTCCTTTCCCTTTACATGCTCTGTTCATTTGCTTCCACCAAACCCAGCAGCAGCTGAGGGAAAAGAAAGCTTTCAGAAATACTATTTTTCCCAAGTTGATAAAAAACCAGAGCACGAGCCAAATGAAAACTATTGTTTGGGTGGATGTCTGCACGACTCTGCGGGGAATCATGGCAATTCTCATTCATCCTATTCTAAAAACTCCTGTTCTGCCAAAGATAATGGCAAGGACCAGCTTTCTCCTGACTTCCATCCATGGTCCTCTGTGTTCTGCACACACCTCCACAGGCACAGCACTCACTGATTTCATTCAGACTGGAAAGTTAATGAGTTCTCAAGTGATCAGTTTTGGGTTGCCTCCTTATACATTTATAATGTTACTGCCTGTGTTTCTTTTCCTTGCAGAAGGTACACGCTTCTAAATAACATTTCCTTGATTGTATGTAAACAAATATGTGTGACAGAAACAAAATTCTGTGCAGCTACAAGGCTGGTCTCTCTCAGAGTGGCTTTTTATTGCTCTGGATCATCAAAAAGTGACATCCAGGACAGCCTCATTTGGCTCTCTAACCTTGTGGTCAGGCAGCATGGGCAGGAGAAACCTGACTCAAGCCTGAGGTGAAGCTGCAGAGCACAGAGTGTTTGTGTGACACAGCACAGCCCTGCCACACAGGCTCCCCTGCATCCCAGGGCTGACCATTAATGACACAAATAATGAGTCATGGCATTGCAAACAGAACAGCAGCCAGCTAAACCCAAACAGAGATGCTTGGTCCTGATTTCACTTACAGCAATGCAGCTCTGATGATTTCAGAGGAGCATTTCCTAATTTCTTGGGACTTTTTCTTTTTGTTGAAACATGAAGGGGGGAAAAGGTATTTTTTTTCAGAATTAATCAATGTTAATGTACCACTGTGTAATAATAAGAAACTCAACAATCACATCAGAGGAAAAAAATTAAGGGGAAATAAATAGGAAATTTGAACAGCTCAGCTTGAAAAACTTTCTGTATTTTCCTGTGTAAGAACTTCTAGGAAAAGAAAACTGCCTGCAGTGTTTGATATGACCTGAAGAAGCAACGTAACACTAAGTTCAAGTCATTTCAGCATGAAGATCCATATCCAATAAATGGAATTAAAGAAGATGAAGAAAACAGTTCCCAAAAAGAGGCATGCTTCACAGAGAACTTCCAGTGATTGCATGCAATGGTGCCTGCCTAGCACAGTAAGGACTCTGCTGATTCTCCAGGGGATCTGTGCTGAGATGAACACAGAGCAGGGAAGTCCTTCCCAAAGTCTCCCCTATGAAGAGCACTAAGAACAAATCTATTTGGGCAAAAAAAGTCATTAATTGAGTTGTAATGGATATATCTAATTTAGTTTGTGAACTTTGTGGTTTGGTGGAATACACGAGAATGATTTTCCTCTTAAATCCTACATTCTTCAAAACTGTTCCAAAATATGGTCAGAAAACACAGCTGTTGACACTTTCCCTCTAATTCCTGAATGTGTGGGTTTGGGACTAACACCCCACTCCACATTCCCCCTCTCTCTGCCCTGTTCATCCAGAGGAGAGTGTGAGGGGATGCCTGTTCCCTGACACTTGCGGGCACAAACTGCACATTACCATACCAGCCTGACTTACTTAGATTTATACATTCATTCACAAAGTAGTAATAGGAAACATACTTTATGCTAACCCTCCTATTTGTCTGAAGTTTGAGGCTACAGTAGCCTTTCTTAAATCAATGTTACAAGTAGGATTTCCACAAGCAGCCTAGAAGCACATATTAAACATATTTACACCGAACATTTTATTTGCTGTGACATACTAAATGTTACTTTTATAATATAATCTCATGCAAAGTTCACTCCTTCAGCCTTTTCTTGTCCAAAACACTGCTGTATTTAATCACATACTTATTTCTTTGATGTCTCACACTTCGAACTTTACGAATTCATGCAAATACAAATGCAGGAATTTTGAAGAATTAGTTTCTGTATGAAATGATGTCTGTCCTATAACAACTTTGATGGCTTAGCCTGTTTTAACCACCATGGAAGGGTTCTTTGCTTACCTAGCAATATTTTTTGAGGCTGGTGAATTAGAATGGTAGGTCATAAAACTCTGGTGGATGCTTCCCCTCCTCATCAATGACAATAACAAATTTAAATGGCAAAGTCATTAAGAAAACATATGGGTGCTATGTTTAAACAGACCATTAATAGTGCACAATGTAAGAACTCAGCAGAATGCTTTTAAAGTAGCTCTGAAACCAAGTATATGACTTCCAGCTATAATCTAACACTGTATTTGCTATACAAACAACTTCCTCTGCAGAGTTAATACATCCAGACAAACTGTAAAACCTGGTACAGTTTGTAGGGACTTCCTCTGATCCTGAAACCCCTGAACTGCAGCATCCTGAACTTTGCATCTATTGAGGAAGTGCTGACTTTGGAGCAAGAGTTGGCAGAGAGGCAGGGTGGTGGTGGGAGGCTCGACAAATCCTTCCAGCAAACCCTGCATCACCTCTCGCCCTGTGTTTTCAGCATTTCAGCGCTGGGGTTGGTGTGATCAGTGCCCGGGCTCCCCTCCCCAGCTGGGGACACTTGGGGGCTCCTGCGCATCCTGCAGCACCCTCCCGGGGCACAGGACACCCCCTCCCCGCCCCTCGTACCATTGAGCTGGTTGTAGACCACTTCCTCCAGGTGGTCCAGGCGCTGCAGGATGGACTCCCTGTCGGCCAGGCTGCCCACCTTGGCGCCGCGGCTCCTGGCCCGGCGCTCCGCGCTCCGGACGATCTGCACCAGCTCCTGCGAGCGGTCCTGGATCCTGCAGTACACGGAGAACAGGATGATGCCCACGAAGACCAAGATGTTCACCGTCAACAAAGTTTTGATTTTCCGTGCCACCGCCATGGGAGCCGCGGGCGCGGTGGCGGGGGGCGCATCCAGGCGCGGCGAGCGGCGGCCCCGCGGCCACCCGGAGAGGGCAGAGCCCGGGGCGCGGAGCGGAGCCGGGGGCAGCGGAGCTGAAGGCAGCGGAGCCAGGGGGAGCAGAGAGAACGGGAGCGGAGCCTGGGGGAGCAGAGCCGGGTAGAGAGGAGCCAGGGGGAGCGGAGAGAACAGGAGCGGAGCCTGGGGGAGCGGAGCCGAGGAGAGCCGAGAGCGGAGCTGTCCTTCAGCACCGCCGCGCCGCTCCCCGCCCCGCGCCCGCCGTCGCCCCGCGGGGCCCGCGCCGCGGCGGGCAGGGCGGCATGGAGCGGGGCCGAGCGCTGCTGCCCCCCGAGCCTCCTCCTCCTCTTCCTCCTCCTGCTGCCGCTGCTGCTCCTCCGGCGGCTCCCGCCCGCCCGCCCTCGCTCGCTGTCCGCCGCCCCGAACGCAGAGCGCCGGTGCGCAGTGACGTGCTCCGGGGGATCTCATCTACATGCACACGGCGGAGCCGCGCCCGCCCCGCGCCCTGCCCAGGGCCCCGCCGAACGCGCCAGGGGCCATCTTATCATCGCTGCCCACCTGGAGAGAGCCGGTCCTGCCCGCGGGCAGCTCCCGAGGGCGGCGGGAGGGAGCAAGGTGTCCTTGCAGCCCCCGAGGGGAGGTGATGCCCCACCCGGCTGAGCGGCGGAGAAGAGATGAAATAAGTTCGCACGCTCCCCGGCAAGAGGGAGAGCTGGTAACGCACTCTGCTCCGTGGGTTTCCCGGCAGCCCGAGTACGGCTCCGGCTTGAGATCCTGCATGGAAATGACATGGTTGGGACCGCATGCACAGGCAAGAGAAGTTCTTGCCAAGCATCCATAGAAATATGGACTCATAGAATAGTTTAGGTTGGCAGAAATGTTTAACAGCCCGTCTGCTCCAAGCCCCCTGCAATGAGCAGGGACATATTCAACTCGATCAGGTCACTCAGAGCCCTGTCTAAGCTGACCTCAAATGAGCTGACATCAGGTTGCTCAGAACCCTGTCTGAGCTGACCTCAAATGTTTCCAGGGATGGGACATCCATCACCTCTCTGGGTGACTTATGACAGCATTTTACCACCCTTGTCAGAAAATATTTATTCTTTATATCTAGTCTAAATTGATAATCTCTCAGGTCGTAACCATTAATTCTTTAATTTCAATACCTATGGGCATTAAAGATGCCCTTTCAACAGCTTCTCCATTCATGTTCACAGTGATCCTCCTTTTATACAAAAAGATATACCCATCTCACTTAGAGGGTTGCATACCATAGTATATATCCTGATGCTGGGAATTTTTCTTCTTTCATCCTTCCTTCTTGGTTTCAGGACCTGCCAACTCAAAATCTAGCCAAGGTTACAACCTCACCAAGTTCACTGAAACTTGGCAAGCCGTGCTCAGGGTTTCCTGAGATATAAATTCTCCACTGCTGGTCCTGCTTCTGACCCTCCTGCTGCTCACCTTCTGCACGGCCCCTGAGGGTGCAGTTTCTTTAAGATGTGTTTCTGTCCTAGAGCAATTCTCTTCTCCCCTGGTCTTTTGAGGATCACCAGTGAGACCTGTGCTGAGCAGAGAAAACCTAAACTAGAGTTTCACTATCATCTCATCTCATCTCATCCCTGGAAGAATATTCCACAAGTTTCTGCAGTGTCATCTCTTCCAAGTATGGAAATATGTACAGGATTTAGTTATTTCCTACACTACTGTATTCTTAAGCACTTAAAAAAATAATGCTTGGGTGCAGGATGAGATCTTTCACTCAAGCTGTAACAAAACTCTCTTGGTCACTCAGCAGAAACAGCTCATAATCTGAAATTTTGCAGTGCTTTGATTATTTCAGTCACATTCTTATTGCAAATCACTCACAGCATTACGTTTTCCTAGCATATAACAATTTGGTTTAAGAAAATATGGAACTAATGCTCAAGTGCAGCTGATTTAATGGCTCCACAGCATTTAATATATTATAGCAACACCTGCTGGTCTTGATATGGTTAAGAATCTGTTACATCCCTATTTCCAATATGAACTCCAAGTTCACAAGCTGGCCACAAGAATTCAGATTAGATTCTGACACGAGTTTATAGCTTGTCCCAAGGCTTGTAAAACACCTTCAACATTCTCAGAGAATTTACCAAGTTTTTATGAGGATTTTTTGCACCACTGCAGTTTTAAACTGGCTTTCACAGGCATGATTTCATTCATGACTGGCTTAGCTGAAGGAAACCACTTTTTGACCTAAGTACATTTCTTAAATGGTCAGCTTAAAATATTCTCATATTCTTCTGTACACGCCACAGACTGTGTTCACATGGCTGAAAACTCACCCAATATCACTCAAATAATAGCTAGCTCATGTAGCTCACTGTTCCTTCAGACAACTCAAAGCAAAGTTGCAAAAGAGATACCAGAGCTGACTGAAGAACAGCAAATTCCATGATCAAATGATATATTTTATTTTTTCCTTGGAACCAAACAAAAATGCACTGTAATATTTTTACACGAACAGCACTTGAGCTGAAGCCGCTGTTTCCTGCCCAGAAGGAAGTTCCAATTTTAATTCCCACAGAAAAGACTTATGTTGCCAAAAGAAAATTTGATCAAAATCAATATATATAACAGCTGGATTTCAGTGAAAATGCTTTAGCTGAAGCCATAGGAATCAGCTGTGATTGTTGATCCATCCTGCAAAGGGAGATCATGGGAAGGCAGTGGTGGCTGTTCCCAATCAATGGACCAAGCCAGAGGCAATGCTGGGATTCCATTCCAAACCACAAATCCAGTTTCTCTCTCTCTCTCACTGATTTTCATTCCTATTCATCTCCACAGAGTTCCTATTTCCATTTATCATTAAAAATGGATCAGGAAGGTGCTGTAAAAGCACACCAAGACCCTGTGCATTCAAATGGCAGCCCCTCAGGTGATCCCACTCCCCATCCCTGTGCTCAGCCAAAGGGAACACCTGGAGGAAGGACAGCTGGCTGCAGATGAAGGCGGTGTCAAACAGCCAGAGGAAGGACTCTGAAAAGCCAGGCAGCACTCTGAAATATCCATCTGCCACAAGCATCTCCCTGAAAGCAGCAAAGATGGTTCATTGCCTTGGGGCACTTCTGAGCTGCTACTGGGCTGTCAAACAGCTGAGGCTGTAATGGTAACAGCAGCTTGTAAAACCAAACTTGGCTGTTGGCTGAGGCTCTTCTTGAAGCTGTGCTTGGTCTTGTGCAACGCTGGCCTTCCAATATTTATATTTGCTTCTGTTAACTCTTGGTTACTGCAGGATGCTCCATCTTGGCATGAGGATGTTGATACAGAGGAGAACTTCAGCTGCTTCTGCATTTAAAATCCTGCTCTACTTAGCTATTGAGCTATGAGACAGAAAATTTCACTTAAAACAACAGGGAACTAAAATATTTTGAAAAGAAGTTAAGTAAAGCATCAGTCTTACAGCCATTAAGTACAGAGCCTATCATGCAGCTCCTCAAGGCAGCAGACTCCAAGTCAATCTCACCCAGTTCATTTGGAGCTACAAACCTCAACCAATACACACACTTTTTTTAGCCAGCTACTGAAATCTGTAAATTGTACAGCATCTGAGTATGATCAACATACCCACCATCATCTGGACAGCTCTCAAGTTAAGTTTTCCCTAAAAGTGCTCAGAAAAATATATTAAAAGAGACCATGTGGAAGTTCCATCTCTACAGCAGTGCCCTGATGTGGTGAGTACATGCTCAGATAATCAGTGAGTTTCAATTTTCTATGAGGGGTTTTATGTTGAGTTTCATTTTAAATGAGATGAAGGAACTGGCTGACGAAACAAAAAAAGTAAGATTTTACTTTTGAGAAAAGGCAAGAAGAGGATGATTAAAAAGTTTCTTGAAAGTTTTTTGAATTTTAAAAAGCCTAGGTTGAAAAAAAATATTGAATTCAAGTTAATAACCATAAAATCATTCCCAACCACTTTTCCAAAAGGACAGGATTGATTTACCATTTCTAAAGAGACATACCTTTCTGATCATCCTACTGCATGATATGAGACATTTGCAGGAATGAATAATGTGTAGAAGGGAAGACTTTGATGTTTCAAGTATTTCAGCACTAGCTTTAAAGAAAGAAAAAGACACCACAGACAAAATATTATGCCAGTGAGGATCTCCCACTGCAGATTCCAGCTGTAGTTACTCACACACAGACATCACCTACCATCTCCACAGTGAAACCCCACCTGCATTTGCCTGGACTTTGCTTAGAGTTTTAACACAGCCTAACATTTTTCTGCTTCATTTTATACTTTTTGACTTAGAAGAAAACAGCAGCAAAAGCAGCCAGCAGAGCTCCAAATCTGTGAACACTCAGACACACAGAACTGAGGCCCTCACCCTGCTGCAAAGAGGCACTGCAGCCCCTCAGATACTGAGATGCCTTAAAATCTCAACATTTCAGAAATTATATATATTTATATATGTTATATGTGTATATATTCTTTTAATTTTGGCTGTATTAGTCACTTAAGATTACACAGAAGTTTCACAAATGGAAATTGGGATGCTTCCTCTAAAACTGCAGCAATTCCCACTTGCACATGGGACAGTTCTTCAAACGTACAAATCATGCTGTGTTCTAGCACCTGTGACACAAATATGCACTTCTTTTATATTCTTCCTGTTGCATTAAAGCTCCAGGTTGACCCTGCAGAGTGAATTTATAATAGACAGCACAATTGTCAGTAGATCTGCTGCTTTCAAGCCTGTGAGATTTTGCTGATGACCACCCTGTAGTAAAAGCACACAGATAAAACTCAACAATTATCCAAACGTGCATTAAAACCCCCAATAAACCTGTCATTGTAAAACCAGAAGATAAATAATGCCAAGACTAAAATATTCAACCCACATACTTACGTTTTACAAAGCTCTAATTAATAAACATTACAGCTCTCACCAATTTTAATAAGAATTGAGTGGAGCTACCTTTTTAAAATCCAACTGCATAGTCCTCCATCCATTTCCTATTATTATCTCCTACTGTAATTCCTGAATAGGTGCTTGTTTGCTAAGAGAGGATTATCACCATTCACCATGATCAAAAATTACTTGCAGGGACTTAGATTTACCCATGCAACAAGAGAAAAAAGCATCTTTGAGGACCTTTCTCCCCCAAATGACAGAGGCTCAGCCC